AGAGAGGGAGAGATAGAGAGAGAGAGGGGGGAGAGGTAAATAGATAGATAAATAGATAGAGAGAGGGAAAGAGAGAGAGATAGAGAGAGAGAGAGAGAGAGAGAGAGAGAGAGAGAGAGAGAGAGAGAGAAAAGGAAAGAAAGAGAGATGGTGAAGGATGAAGGAAATGAAATGTAATGTGTGTTCGTGTTTGTTTGCAGTGAACTTAATATTATATCATGTTATCCCAGCCCACCTAGGGGACTGGGGTATGGCAAGAAGGGAGTGGGTGGGTTGTGAGGGTCAGCACGTAGACTTGGGATGGGAAGAAAATCACGCCCATATTCGTCGTCGAGTACAACAACCCTGTATTCCACAAAAACAAAACTTTACAGGGGGGGAGGGAAAAAAAAACTTTGTCAATTCATCTGACGACGTTTGTGAAAAATCAAAGTCGGAATGTTGCACTGGTGATATTTATTGAGCTACATGTCTAAATATATGACACAAAATCTGCAACTTTACATTTATTGGAAAAAAAGAAGAAAAAAACCCTGTTTTTTAAAATAGTGCGGGTTACAGGGTTGTTGTACTAAGACGACAATATGACCTCAAGCAGTTGTGAGCACCGTAAAACTTTAATTAAACTTAAAACAGTATTGATCTATGAAAAGTCGAAATCGTCTAAGACGGCCACCCATGGTGTAAAAAATGCTTGTGTTATACAGCGAATGTGTCACACATTGCCATTTTAATGTTTAAAAAAATACTCAAGGGAAGAAATGAGAAGTGGCCGTTTGTACAGGTGATTGTCTTATACAGGTGGCCGTTTGTACAGGTGATTGTCTTATACAGATGGCCGTTTGTACTAGTGATTGTCTTATACAGGTGACCGTTTGTACAGGGGGTTGTCTTATACAGGTGGCCGTTTGTACTGGTGATTGTCTTATACAGGTGGCCGTTTGTACAAATGGTTGTCTTATACAGATGGTCGTTTGTGCTAGTGATTGTCTTATACAGGTGGCCGTTTGTACAGGGGGGTGTCTTATACAGGTGGCCATTCGAACAGGTTCGACTCTAGTTAGACTGCCGTCTGGGATGTAATGTTTAGGCTCTACGGTGTTGATGGCAGAGCACATGTGTTTCATTTCAGAGCGGGAGATAGTCATTTCTTCCAGTTTTTACAGATTATTATATATCTGTATTGGTAATTGGTATGGTATATCCCACGCACCTCTGATTGGCCCGAACTCAGAGCGACCCGCCTCCTAATTATTCTTCAAGGTGTCCATTGGGATTGTGATTGTGTTTGAGATTGGGATGGGGCTGGGGATGGGGTTTTACATTAACAATTCATCAGGAGAAACACTGTTACTAATTTCAGATCATATTTTTTTTTCTGTTTCAGAACAATTCATCACGCTGAGCACATACAACTTTTTGAGAGAAGGGAAGTGACGTCACTATTCTAACAGAGCAACTGTCACAGTGGAAGTGACCCCGCCTTACTCTGATAGTCGCTCCTCCCCCGTCACGCCCACATCAGGTGACGTCAGCGGTAACCATGACATCCGAGTCGGACATCATTGACCTAAAGGCCCGCTCCCGAGAGGGGCGTGGCCTCAGCCAGAAGGCCGGTGAACACTGGATTGAGATCCAGAAGAACACGTTCATGAACTGGGTGAATCTTCAGCTCCAGAGCTCAGGTCTGTCCGTGTCGGACTTCGAGGTGGATTTCGACGACGGCGTGCGTCTGTGTGCCCTGGTGGAGGCGCTGCAGAACAGGAAGATCGGACGTATCAACAAGAAACCCATCAACCAGCACCAGAGTCTGGGAAATGTCAGCATCGCGCTTAAAGCCATAGCAGACGACAATGTCCGGCTGGTCAATATTGGTGAGTGAGTTAGCGGGCTTGACTCGTGTAGGGTGTAGTGTAGTCTTTAGATGCACTCACGTTTACATACGCACACATTGCCTATTTGTCTACATTACTAGCCCCCATGCTCGCACTATAGCGTGTAGGTCAGGGATTTAGATGCACACACACACACACACACACACACACACACA